CCTGGAAGGAGAAGAACTCTGACTGGTACATAGGCTGACCCCACAGAGCCTTGCATATGTTACACTGCATTTAATAAGCCTTTGCGATTTTGAGCGGAAGTAGGTTGCGTGCCGCCACAAGGGATTGACCAAGGGTGAAGACTTTAGATTGACCAAGGGTGAAGACTTTATCTTATGGTCTATACAATGACTTGCGGGGCCAGCCAATGTATAAGGCAGTGTTTTTCTCTCAGAGAAACTGGTACCAGTCTATAGAGGACAGGATTAGAAAGATTGGCAGGCTTGGGCTGGAACCGAACCGGGAATTCCACCCCGATCGCGTTCGTGGTAAGCTGGCTACTTGCCAGAACTCCACCTCTGCCTAAAAACAGAGAGGATGTGAAAAAGCTATAGCAGTAACCCACTGCTGTCCCTTTTTCTGCTGGTGTTTCACCAGAATGAAGTCAGGGCACCATCCCAAACCTACCTCAGTTGATCAAAGGGGTACTGCTATGTGTTCTGGACAATCTGCGTTTCAAGAAGATTAGTTTCTAGTATACTGAGTACATGATCGACATGGGAACATCATAATTAGGGAGGCGGATCTGATAATTTTGAAGACATTTAAACTATTACATTTGCAGGAGGGCCTGATGTCAGTCATCCAAACAGAGAAACCATCCTACAAACCGATCACCAATCGGAGTGAATCTGCTTATGAGAGATCAAAAATGGATTCCTTCGCTGTGCAATAGTACCGCTCAGGGCGGTTAGCAGATCCGCCCCTAGGGTGTATCGGCTGGATTTGGAAAACCTTGAATAGACCCAATACGAATTTGGACATCTTCATGGCTATGAACTGAAGTCTTGAAACAACAAAGAACACTCATTCTAAAAAGTACGAAGGGCACCACCACTTCAATAGTGAGCCAACAGAAAAACGTACTCATATCGATGAGCAAGTGTCCATATCCATTCCGCTGCTCACTTGGAAGGGTCAGTAAGCACGACAAATTGTTGTTTCTGCTCGGATTCTTCTCCTAAGAACTACCAGTTTATTACGGATGTTTGTTCGTCGTGCACACACAACCGTACGCGAACTAACCTTCGAGAAGTATCCAACTATGCGGCACCCATTTTCGTCATTTTTTGTTAGTATGTAGAATAAGAACGTTGCCACTTCATTGTGTGATATTTTAGAAGAGATGAAGAGCATAGCCAGAAGACACAAATTGCGACAGTATGTCTAAATGTCTGATTATCACATCACAATAGAGTAATCGTGCGTTCTGTGGGTCAAAAGTTGGTTTTTAAGCAAACTTTTCCTAATCAAAATAACGTCAGAAGTCAGCCTTTACGAGTATTACGAGTACGTGACTATTCACAGGGTGTCCCAAGAGAACGCTAGGCGGTTAAGGGGCAAATATTTCTTATGAGGGAATAGTCTAATATTCTGGTTGAGTTATAGAAATACTGAATTACAACGATATAAGATGCGAAGTGTTTTGTTGAAAGTGACTTCTCTGAATGAAAGTGAGAGAGAAGCTATCGAACGGCAGTGTATGTTCGACACTATTTCGGAAAGGGGATGATGATATCACTGCTGTAAATCTTCTAAGCGTCCAAGATAGGGGGCTTTATTCCGTGCACGTTCCGACGACTTCACCTTAGCCTGAGCCA